CCCCACACACATTCCCACCTGCACCCCTCGCACCAAATGGGAGCTGCCCAGGTAAGCGTTCCACATCCAAACCTCCTGCCCCAACCCTGAGCCCCCTCCCTCATTCTAGCTCCTGGCCAGACCCTACACCCCAACCTCCAGCCTGCTCCTTCACCCCCAGCCCTGTGCTCAGTGCACTCCCACCCTCAGCTCAGTGCAGAGACAGAGGAAGAGAATGGGCCAGAACCAGGGAAAAGGTAAGTACCCACTGTGTGTGGGCAGGGCCGGGACCCCAGACTGGCAGCGGGCTGAGATCCCGGCTGGCAGGCGCCAGTGGATGGAACCCCTAAGCGGCAGCGGGCTGAGCCGCACAGCCCACTGCCAGTCTCGGGTTCTGGCTGCCGGCCCCTTGCCAGCTGGGGTCCTGGCCGCAGGCCCCGCTCAACCCGCTGCTGGCCTAGGTGAACAGAACCCCAGACCAGCAGCAGGCTGAGCGGGCTGGCGGCATAAGATCAACATTTTAATTTAATTTTAAATGAAGCTTCTTAAACATTTTGAAAACCTTGTTTATTTTACAATACAACAATAGTTTAGTTGTATAGTATATAGACTTAGAGAGAGAGAACTTCTAAAAAACATTAAAATGTATTACTGGCACATGAAACATTAAATTAAAATGAATAAATGAAGACTCGGCACACCACTTCTGAAAGGTTGCCGACCCCTGCCCTAGTATCTCAAGTTGAGCACCTAGAAAATGAGGAACACAATTAGTGAACACCCCTGAAAATTTTGGTTTTAAGTGACTTGCCCAGCATTACATAAGAACGTGGGGGCAGAGGCAGGGATAGAATCTGATTCTCCAGGGCAGCATCTGTGTTAACTGTGAGACCATCTTTCTCTTCCTGCAATCCCCTGCCTCATTCCTACACACCTTCTAATTTCTGCAACAAATGAGACAGGGGTCCTATAGACAACAGCCTCCTGTACTACACAGCCTTGATTCATACCCAGAGCACCTTTCATCACATCCATTGAATGAGGCACAGATCCTGTAGAGAAAAATAGAATGTAATTGTCACAGTTTCTGGATAACTGCACTTACAGTCCCCCTCTATGGTCCTTTCAGGAACCTGCTTAAAGATTTCCAGGTTCCAGACATCACCTCTCCTGGGTGGGAACTGTCTCACTCCCTCCTGCAGAGGTTTTAAGGCTGCAGCACCACCTGATCTACACTGTGGTATCCCCAGCAAGCCAGTCTGCTTAAAAGACCAGTGTCTGCTCTTTTTTTTCTGAGAACTACGACTAATGTATTGTCAGCAGTTAGAAGTTACCACACAGCTCTTGAACAGTGCTTTTTGTTCATAAAGTTAAAAGCATTATAGAGAGAACTTACAAAATAAAAAAAAGTACTTTCCTATATGCATACCAAAAGTTCACTAGAGGTTACCCATTAGTCTCAGCCCCTCCCCTCCTTAGAGAAAAAGTTCTGTTTGTTGGAACAGGAAAAAGAGCCTCAAATCAGTTAAAACTCAGGCGGTTTATTCTTAAGCACTTTCCCTGTTTCTTGGTCTCTGGAGAATCCAGTCTGAATTAGTATATGTGAGCCTTCTCAGGAAGTGATACTTGGGAGTGGGGAGAGGGAGGGGACAATCTGGGTGACTTGATGGGCAAGATCCACTGGGAAGCTAATATGAGGGGGCAAGGAGTCCAGGACCGCTGGCTGTATTTTAAAGAAGCCTTATTGATGGCGCAGGAACAAACCATCCCGAAGTGCAGAAAGAATAGCAAATATGGCAGGTGACCAGCTTAGCTTAACAGTGAAAACTTGGGTGATCTTAAACTCAAAAAGGAAGCTTACAAGAAGTGGAAATTTGGACAGATGACTAGGGGGGGAGTATAAAAATATTGCTAGAGCATGCAGGGGTGTAATCAGGAAGGCCAAGGCATCACTGGAGTTGCAGCTAGCGAGGGATGTGAAGAGTAACCAGAAGGGTTTCTACAGGTATGTAAGCAACAAGAAGGTGGTCAGGGAAAGTGTGGGACCCTTACTGAATAAGGGAGGCAACATAGTGACAGATGCAGTAGTCAATGCTTTTTTTTGCCTTGGTCTTCACAGACAAGGTCAGCTCCCAGACTGCTGCACTGGGCAACACAGTATGGGGAGGAGCCCTCAGTGGTGAAAGAACAGGTTAAGGACTATTTAGAAAAGCTGGACATGCACAAGTCCATGGGTCCAGATCTAATGCATCCAAGGGTGTGGAGGGAGTTGGCTGATGTGATTGCAGAGACATTGGCCGTTATCTTTGAAAATGTGTAGTGATCGGGGGAGGTCCCGGACGATTGCAAAAAGGCAAATATAATGCCCATATTTAATAAAGGGAAGAAAGAGAACCCGGGGAACTACAGGTCGGTCAGCCTCACTTCAGTCCCCGGCAAAATCATTGAACAGATTCTCAAGGAATCCATTTTGAAGCACTTGGAGGAGAGGAAGGTGATCAAGAACAGCCAGCATGGATTCACCAAGGGCAAGTCATGCCTGACCAACCTGGTTGCCTTCTATGATGAGATAACTGGCTCTGTGGATATGGGGGAAAGTGGTGGATGTGCTATATCTTGACTTTAGCAAAGCTTTTGATATGGTCTCCCACGGCATTCTTTCCAGCAAGTTAAAAAAGTATGAATTGGATGAATGGACTATGAGGATGATAGAAAGCTGGCTAGATTGTCGGGCTCAACGGGTAGTGATCAATGGCTCGATGTCTAGTTGGCAGCCCTTATCAAGCAGAGTGCCCCAGCGGTCGGTCCTGGGGCCAGTTTTGTTCAACATCTTTATTAATGATCTGGATGGTGGAATGAATTGCACCCTCAGCAAGTTCGCAGATGACACTAAGCTGCGGGGAGAGGTAGATACGCTGGAGAGTAGGGATAGGATACAGAGGGACCTAGACAAATTAGAGGATTGGGCCAAAAGAAATCTGATGAGGTTCAACAAGGACAAATGCAGAGTCCTGCGCTTAGGAAGAAAGAATCCCATGTACTGCTACAGGCTAAGCAACAGTTCTTCAGAAAAGGACCTAGGGATTACAGTGGACGAGAAGCTGGATACGAGTCAGCAGTGTGCCCTCGTTGTCAAGAAGGTGAACGCCATATTGGGCTGTATTCGGAGGAGCATTGCCAGCAGATTGAGGGAAGTGATTATTCCCCTCTATTTAACACTTGTGAGGCCACACCTGGAGTATTGCATCCAGTTTTGGTTCCCCCACTACAGAAGGGATGGCTTACGAGGAGAGGCTGAGGGAACTGGGGCTATTTAGTCTGCAGAAGAGAAGTGAGGGGGGATTTGATAGCAGTCTTCAACTACCTGAAGGGGGGTTCCAAAGAGGGTGGAGCTCAGCTGTTCTCAGTGGTGGCAGATAACAGAACAAGAAGCAATGGTCTCAAGTTGCAGTGGGGGAGGTCTAGATTGGTTATTAGGAAACACTATTTCACTAGGAGGGTGGTGAAGCACTGGAATGGGTTACATAGGGAGGTGGTGGAAACTCCATCCTTACTGGTTTTTAAGGTCGGGCTTGGCAAAGCCTTGGCTGGGATGGTTTAGTTGGTGTTGGTCCTGCTTTGAGCAGAGGATTGGACTAGATGACCTCCTGAGATCTCTTCCAACCCTAATATTCTATGGTCCTATGATTTGCCTTATCAACATCCACTGTTTTTGATTCCTGGAAGAGGAGATGTAGTAGCCTTCCCCCATGGAGGAGGTTATTAAATCACACCTTCTCTCTCTAATATTCTGGGACCAACACAGCTACAACACCACTATAATTTCCTAGGCTTTTAAAAAAGCAACTGAGAAAAAAATTCCCTCATGTGGCATCATGGTGACACCGACATGGTTTATTAATAGGTGTGGAAACTTTAGATCCTCTGCTACTTGAAGTAAAGGAGTAACTGATAGAGCAGGGGTTGGCAACCTTTCAGAAGTAGTGTGCCGAGTCTTCATTTATTCACTCTCATTTAAGGTTTCACGTGCCAGTAATACATTTTAACATTTTTAGAAGGTCTCTTTCTATAAGTCTATAATATATTTCTAAACTATTGTTGTATGTAAAGTAAATAAAGTTTTTAAAATGTTTAAGAAGCTTCATTTAAAATTAAATTAAAATGCAGAGCCCCCCGGACCAGTGGCCAGGACCCAGGCAGTGAGAGTGCCCCTGAAAATCAGCTCGCATGTTGCCTTTGGCACGCGTGCCATAGGTTGCCTACCCCTGTGATAGAGGATGATAATGTACTACTTCTGTGTGGACTTTCACTAGAGGGGGATGAGATGCATACTTTGCTGGTGGGTTTCACAGTTGCTGGTAGCAGAGGAATGGCCAGGCTTAGGAATCGGGTTAGAGTCCAGCTTCTGGGTGGGAGTATGCTCTACAGAGCACAGATTCTTCTGCCCATTTTCCTCCAACCTTGACCCCTTCTGCCTGACCATGCTGCTATTTGTAATGACCAGTGAACAGTGCATACAATTGGTGAAAAATCCCTGGTCTGAAATCTGTTTGCATTGAATGTTTGTTGTAGTTCCAATAACAACTAGTACTGTCTATTTTTAACCAGGGTGAAATTAACTGAATTAGCTATAGATAGATAATTCAGCTCTGCTGGCTTCATCTTTTTGCTTTTAAATATCTGTCGAATTTTTTTTTTACTCACATTTTTAGTAACAGCCTTTGTGTTCTGATAAAATAATGGTTCTGATAAACAGAGAAGTTAACCCCACCACTTGATTAGCCAGCTTAGTGATACATTTTGAGAGTGGAAGTAGAAAACTAGAAATGAATTTCAAATAGTCTTAAGGAGAGGAAATGTTATCTCGGAGGCATTTTAAAGATAACATCTACATATGTATTCCTGAAATCTGCAAAGCAGAACTAGAGTGTAACTGACCCAGGCTCGGAGTAGAGAGAAGGTATTCTGTTCTCTGGATCAGAGCAAGCATGGATTGTACAAAATGGCAAATTGACAAATCAAAAGCACACTCGAGGGCAGTCTTTTTTTTTTTTGGACTCTTATTTTTGAAGTTAAAATATCTAAGTATTTAGCTTGCATTAAGCTTTCAGTAGCTATTATGCAGTGTTCATACAAATCTCATACTCTTTCTCACCTTAACTTTTTCTGTTTAATTTGGACTTAATCTAATTGCTTGGGAAAACATTGACTTTATTTTTTAAAATTACATTTGAAAATAACATCTCTTGCATACCTGGCAAGACGCACATTCTGGATTTTCATTTGGAAAGGAAATGTATTCAAAATTTTGAACTTTCCTTTTAGGAGGTAAATAAAGGGAAAATATCCTTTATGCTCTTTTAAGTACACATTCAGATACTGATTTAGGATGTTCACATACTGAAGTGGTTTTGGGTCACCTAACTTTCATTCTAGGCATATTGATTTCAATCACTCGTGTGCACTATTCTCCCCTTCTTCAATTATGGACTGTTAGACATTGGGGCCAGGTTTGTTTCCTCATGTTTTCAATTACATCATCAGTCTTGCAACACTTAGAAAATTAAATTGCTTATCAAAGTGTACTCATTTCAAATACCAGAATAAATACTTTGCAGGAAAAGAATTACCTTTTCTTTGCGGTGTATCAGTGTAAATGGGATACTTTCCCTCTCCTGATGTTGATTATTTCTGGTCAGTTGCTGGATTGGCTCTGCCATGTCTGCAATGACATCATATGTTTTTAATTCTAGAATTGAAACTACAGAAATAAGGAGAAAGCACGTATTATTTTGGCCCGCTTTGCTTTTGTTTTTTGTTAAAAATGAGCCTGACGTACCTCAGTGTAGAAAGGCATAGTCAGTTGACTTTCTTACCTTTGAACCTCCAAAATTATAACAAATTTTAGACTTCCTATTTATTCATATTGCAAAGTAACATACCATCTGAGTCCTCCTATACTCCCTGTTGATTGTTGACACTTCCACTGCCCCAGTAGAGAAGCCCAACATGTACAGCTGCTCAGGGAGCAATGCCTAGATAAGAGTCTAGTCCAGTGGTTCTCACCGTGCGGCCCCAATCAGCATACAACTGCGGCCCATGTGACATTCTCAAGGCCATATGGTTTGAGATATATGGGCCACATCCATACTCTCTATATAAGGGCTGAAAAGCGATTAAAAAAATTAATCGCGATTAATCGCTCGATTAAAAAAATTTGTTTAACAATAATATAATACCATTTATTTAAATATTTTGGATGTTTTCTACATTTTCAAATATATTGATTTCAATTACAACACAGAATACAAAGTGTACAATACTCACTATATATTTTTTATTACAAATATTTGCACTGTAACAAACAAAAGAAATAGTATTTTTCAATTTACCTAATACAAGTACTGTAGTGCAATATCTTTATCCTGAAAGTTGACCTTACAAGTGTAGAATTATGTCCAAAAAAACCCCTGGCATTCAAAAATAAAACAATGCCAAACTTTAGAGCCTACAAGTCCACTCAGTCATACTTCTTGTTCAGCCAATCACTCAGACAAACAAGTTTGTTTAACATTTGCAGGAGATAATGCTGCCCGCTTCTCATTCACAATGTCACCTGAAAGTGAGAACAGGCGTTCGCACGGCACTATTGTAGCTGGCATCACAAGATATTTACATGCCAGATGCACTAAAGGTTCATATGTGCCTTCATGCGTCAACCACCATTGCAGAGGACATGCATCCATGCAGATGACAGGTTCTGCTTGATAACAATCCAAAGCAGTGCGGACCGACACATGTTCATTTTCATCATCTAGTCAGATGCCACCAGCAAAAGGTTGATTTTCTTTTTTGGTGGTTCAGGTTCTGTAGTCTCCGCATTGGAGACTTCTGAAAGCATGCTCCACACCTCGTCCCTCTCAGATTTTGGAGGCACTTCAGATTCTTAAACCTTGGGTCGGGTGCTGTAGCTATCTTTATAAATCTCAGATTGGTACCTTGTTTGTGTTTTGTCAAATCTACAGTGAAAATGTTCTTAAAACAAACAATGTGCAGAGTCCTCATCCAGAACTACTATAACATGAAATATACAGCAGAATGCGAGTAAAACAGAGCCGGAGACATACAATTCCCCCCCCAGGAATTCATTCACAAATTTAATTAACACATTTTTTTAACAAGAGTCATCAGCATAGAAGCATGTCCTCTGGAAAGGGGCAATATCTGCCTCCTTACTCAAGCCTTCCCTAATAACAAGGAATTCAAAGTAGGAGAGGATTTTTTAAAAAAACCAAAGCCCTGAAGCAAAACAAGGGATTTCAGTCACAGAACTGATCAGGAGTTTGTGCATGCAACTTGTACAGAATTCAGTTTGACATTAATATGGTGTCTAAATACCACAGATAGGCACTACAGCTTACTTGAAAAGAAGTTTGCTTTGTCTTGTTAACCTTAAAAATGACTGAGGTTTCTTGCAGGGGGGAATGACTGAATTAAGCTAAGAAGGAATAAAATGGCCAAATTTAAGAAATGTGCCAGCTATATGTTTCACTGAAGACCATGTCCTTTGAAAACTTGTTTTAAACAGCCACATGTCCCTAACTCAATATTTAAATAACACGGGGAATTTTTTTACACGCTACTTTAAAACCTGTGATGTCAAAGGCTTTTTAAATTGCAATTGTTTCCATCGATTGCATAATATTTTCTACATATTTGCCATATATCAATGATGTAATTAGATACATAACCTACTTTTGATAAGGGATTTTACTTTAGCTTTAAAGGTGCAGAAGATATTTAAAATGAATTGGTCAACTTTTGTAATAGTAAATATTGACTTTCTAGCAAAATGAAGCTGTAATGTACAAAAGCTTAAATCAGGACAAAATAGGTTTCATAACTTCAGATTTGTAAATTTTTCACATCCTAATGCAGAAAGAATTCACAGTGGATTAATATTTTAAGATTAGTCATAATGCCATAGCATAAGACACTGGCAAGTCTAAAATCAAAAAGCTACCAGTTTTGTTTGGGCTAAAATGCACTCTAGCATTTTGCATACGTCTTTGCTCTGTTTGTAATCAAAGAGGGTATTGAATATAAAAAAAAATGAGCCTCTTAAGTGTCATGTGTGTTGCTCGTGATCACAGTCCTGGCACCAAGGCAGCTGAATTAAGGTGGCATGAGGCCCCTAAGGAAATGCCAGAATTAATTTCTGAGTGCTTGGCTTTGCGACCTTAATAGTCTTTTAATATGTTTTTGTATGTAATTTCCTAGGTTTTTTTTAAAAGCAAACTGAATAACAAGAAATTCCCTCATGTGGCATTATAGGGACACCAACATGAGTCCTCTGCAGGGTTGGAACCTTTTAGATCCACTGCACAGACCTCTGTCACTTGAGCTAATGGAGTAACTGATAGCAGTTGCAGGTTGTCATCCTGTATTTGGGTCAGCACTAGAGGGGGAGGAGAGAGACTGTATGGGGGTTTCAGAGAGAGTTGCTAACAGTAGAGGAATGGTGAGACTCTGGAGGGGAGTGTGTTTTTGTGGGTACAGACCCTTCTGCCCTGTCCCACTCGTCTTTTCTCCACCCCAAGCTCCTTGTTCCAGTCTCATTCTTCTTGCCTACCCAGTTTCATGCCAGACCCAGTCTCCTTGCTCAGCCAGTCCTCTCCAGGCTCCCCATCCAACTTCTCTTCTCTCCGAGGCCCAGTCCCCCAGATTCCAGCCCTAGTTTCCTTCCGTTGAGCTCCTGATCGAATCTCAGTCTCTCTCCCGACCTTCTCCCTTCCCTGGCTCCTTGTCAGTCTCTCTGTTTAGCCAGTCTCGGTTCTCCCTGAACACCCAGCCCCTTGTCAGATCTGTCTCCCGTCCCCTGCACCCCCATTCTTTCCCACACTGATTGTCCCAGGCTCCTCGTCCAGCCAGTCCCAGCTTCTTGTACAATCTCAGTGTTTGTGCCCCAAAGTCTACTGGCTCCCATCCCCCTAGTCTCCTTGCTCAGTGTATCCCAGTTTCTCTCCTCCCACAGTCCCAGTCTCACCAGACTTCTTGTCCTCTTCCCCAGCTACTTTCCTTTCCCCAGATCTGGCTTTTGGCTACTCTGCGCTTGATCTGAGTTATATATTGACCTGGGTGTGTGGCTCGTCCTTTGGGATCAGGAGAACCTTTTGTTTGATGAAATTGATTTTAAAGAACCACTCATCTTTAAAAGTCTAGTGTCTGGGTGTTGAATCCAGGACTGGAATACCTAAGGAGGCTGTATTTCTGACTACTTGTTAGCCAGTGTGGTGAGACAGAAGTTTACTTTTGTTGCTGGTTTGGTATATCTCAGGGAAGAATAACCACCCGTTTTGGGGTGTCTGCCCTTTTCCCCGGCAGCTTGTCCTGAATTTGGTATTCTCAGTTGTGACCCATGAAGGCATGGTGACACCAAGCCTTTAGTTGAGAGTGGTGAATGTTCAAGTGCTGCTCTCCCCATACAACTTTCCTTTATGGGACAGACTGTGGAAAGGACAGCTTGAGGAACTGGAAAGCTTTCAGCCCAAACAGTGCTCCAAGTGGCACTTGATGCATCAAATGCAGCCACCAGATCAATGGCCAGTGCCAGGGTGATGAGGTCTTTGTAGCATTAAGCAATGGAAATTAAACTGGAAGTCTAGGTCACCAAGAAGGACCTTCCATTCAAAGACAGTGAGCTCTTTAACAATGATATGGATGAGGCTCTCCATGTCCTAAGAGTCCAGAACTACTTTGGGATCTTTAGGCCTGTGCATCTCATCCCCAAAAAGGAAGCACCTGAGACAATAGCAACCATATGACAGACCACAGTCGCTATCCGCATTAAGAGTCCTCCGAGCCTTGAGGAAGAGGCAGTGATTTCACCACGTTCTTCCTTGGCTGCCCCACATTCCAGGGCTCCTGACATAAACCAGTTTTCACATGTACATTGAGAGTCTGGCTAGACCATCTGCAGATCCTCCTCCTGTCCCTCTTTTTGGCAACCACCTGTCCCACTTGCCACTATTTCCCAATCCCAAAGAAGAAAGCGGGTTGGAGGGGTTGAAGACTTATTCTCAGTCTTCACCATCTCAACACCTTTGTCCATTGCTTCAAATTCCATATTGTGACTCTTGCCTCTGTAAATCCCCTCTTTGGATCCCATGGACTGGCTTGCCAGCTCTCAACCTTCAAGATGCCTACCTTCACATCTAATGCATCCTGCTCACAGAAAATAACTGAGATTTCTGATACATATTTCACTATCAGTAGAATCCTACCCTTTGATTTCTCCACAGCCCTGCATGTACTCCCCATGTCCCAGCTAAAGCCTGTCTGAGAAGACAAGGAGTCCAGGTGTATTCCTACTTAGGTGACTGGCTGATACAGGGAGAATCCTCCCAGCAAGTGACAGACTTATTTCAAAGGACACTAAGCCTCTTTGCTGTGCTGGGACTCAGGGTAAACAAGGAAAAATCCACACTGACCCTGTCTCTGAGCATAGTTTATTGGGGCACTTTTAGATTTCAGGTATATTAGAGCATACCTTTCTGAAACTGCAGACTGTGCTCACCCTCTTTGAGCAACTTGAAACACTCTGGAGTACAACAGCCTCAGATTCTTGGGGTACATGTTGGAATGGACATATATCACAGTCAGCATGCCAGACTTCACCTGCAATCTTTGCAAGGGTGGTTAAGATTGGTAGATACACCAACCTCTACCAAAAGGCACAGAATGGACTGGTTGGTCCATTTCTTAAAGTTCTATCATTATTTGCAACCTGTCCCCATAAGTACCTGAGGTTCTGCTGCACGGGAAGCGCAGATGCTGTCTTTGATGTTTTCTCTTTCCTCTGGTGAGCTCCTGGTGTGATGTATGCCTTTTCCTTTTAAGACACATGATGCCTAGGGTCTCGAGGAAATTGAGGCAGGTTGGGTTATCATAATTCCAGCAAAATCCAGACAGCTTTGGTACTCAAGCCTTGTGAACCTTTCACGATCACATCTCATCTCCTTACCAGATCTGGTCTTACAGAACAATGGCTGAATCCTGCATCTGATAGCCTGAATGCTGGCTGGCTAACGTCTACAGAAAGGATCTGCTCTGCTGCATTTCAAGCCATCTTGCTCCAAAACAGGAAACCCTTGCCCAAACTGACTTATGGAAGAGGGTTTCTGTCTGGGCAATGCAGCATCAGCTCTTCCTTGGTAGCAGCCCCGATTTCATGAACTACTTATTTTCTCTAAAACAATAAAACCTGATCCTCAGTTTGATATGAGTACACCTGGCAGAGACATTGGTGAATCATCTTCCTGCACAAGGCTGTACCATTTTCTAGCACCCCACAAGGTTCTTCATGGGGTGCTCACATGCTTGCCCACTGGTCTGGCAGTGGGAACCCCCTCCTGCCTTGGTCCTCAACTTGGTGATGACTGGACTGATGGGTCCACCCTTGGAACCATTGGCTACCAGTTCTCTTTATCACATGTTGAGGAAGACCGCCTCTTTGATGGCTATCACATCAGCTAGGGGAGTAGGAGAGATTCAGGTCTTTGTGGTGGGGTCCCCCCCCAACATTCTTTCACGAGAACATTGTCACTCTCAGATCTCACCTTAAGTTTCTGCCTAAGGTGGTTTCCAGCTTCTGCATCAGTCTTTTCACATTCCCTAAACTGCATTCCACTCTAGGTAAAATGAGACTTCACATGCTGGATAATCCTGAGCATTGTCATTTTATTTAGATATGACCATGCCATTCAGGTGTACATCTAGACTGTGGCATTTGTGGAATGGGCTAAGGAGCAACCTATGTCATCAAAGACTGTCAAAGCAGGTCTCTGATTGTGTTATGACAAGTTTTGGCTAAGAAAGATCTACCTGGACAGATTAAAGCTCATTCACTGCTCAAGCAGCTTTGTTGACCTGCTTGGGTAATATCCCCATATCAGAGAGATGTAGAGCATCAACATGGAGTTCAATTCATACCGTTACCACTCATTCTCTGATGCAAGCTACCAGGGTGGATGCTAGTTTTGGTAGAGTGAAGATTCTACAATTATTCTTCAGGTAAGCTTCTGTTCACCGTAGCTCTGGGCAACCATTTTAGTCACAGTAACTGTGGCTCTTCAAAATGTGTTGTTCACACAGATTTCAAAAAGCACCCTCCATCACCACTCAGAGGACTCCTGGTCCTACAGGATTCTTATTGGTGAAGTAACTGATTTTGGGTTGTGGCCACCCCACCCTTCATGTCCTCGACTGTAGGCACCTAGTGTGGCCTTAGCAGACATTGATGTTCAAAAGAATCCAATCTGATCCACATGGATACTGAGTGGAATATGTGTAAAAAACCCATCTCTAAGAACTTCAGTTACTGGAAGGTAAGTAACAATATTTGTTAGTAGGACTGAGTTTCATCTTGTACACCAGAAGCATAGATGTCTATTGTGTGGAAAATTTAGTTACGTTTTTAGATCTTTACAGTAGTTCTCTTTATATTTTATTATTTTTTATCCAAGAGCATGCATGCCTTACATTTGTGTGACTTGAATGTCATCTTCTAATGAAGAGAACTCTGTTATTGAAAATGTTAATATTGGTTAATTTTGACCTGTGATTTAAACCTTAATTTTTTTGGTTAGTAATTAAAAGATCATTGGAGGCTGACTTACAATTTGATATGCAGTATAGTTGTAGCCATGTTGGTCCCAGGATATTAGAGAGACAAGGTGAGGTGAGGTAATATATTTTATTGGACCAAATCCTGTTGGTAGGAGAGAAGCTTTCGTGCTACACAGCTCTTCTTCAGGTCTGGGAAAGGTGTCACAGTTAAATACAAGTTCGAACAAGTAGTTTAATACACGTAGTGAGCACATGTTCTAAGGGGCCATTTGAAATCAGACCATTGCTATGCTCTCCTCTGATCTCACAAAGGAAAATGATAAAAGACAAAAACACAGTATCACCTGTGGATTAACATTTTTCACAAAGCGATCGGTCTATATCTGACCTATCAATCCTCATCCTCAAAGGAAATGTGAACAACACTTTCAAAAGACAAGCCTGGGAGCTGAAATTTATAACTTTGCTAGACCCTAAAAATCATGATCTAAAAAAGACACCGGATTTATGTCTTAATTCAATGATCTGTAACCCACTAACCCCCCTTTTTGTCCTATGACTGCAGGAGTGTTAACAGGCCTCTTCATCTTGAGTAGTCCCTTAGAGTAGGTGCTAACTATTTGTGCTAAACTATCTGTTCGGCCTTCTATTTAGTTGTGACATTCTGGGCTTGTCTACACTACCACTTACTTCCCTGCAATTTACATTGTTCGGGGGTGTGAATAATCCACACCCCTGAACAATGTAAATTACACTGACCTAAGCGCCAATGTAGATAGCGCATTGTCGGCAGGAGAACTTCTCCAGCTGACATAGCTACCGCCTATCACGGGGTGGAGTAAATAAGTCAATGGGAGAGCTCTCTTCTGTCAGTTTAGAGCAGGAGTTCTCAAACTGGGGGTCATGACCCCTCGGGGGGTTGCAAGGTAGTTACATGGGAGTTGCAAGCTGTCAGCTTCGTGGGGCTCACAGCCCCAAGTCCCCATTAAATTACATTACCTCCCCATTTTTAATTTATAAGGGGGGGGGGGTCACACTCAGAGGCTTCCTATGTGAGAGGGCTCACCAATACAAAAAGTTTGAAAAGCACTGGTTTAGAGCGTCTGCACCAGATGCTCTACAGCCGTGCAGCTGCATTAGCCCTCGGAGTACCTTTCCCAGATCTGAAGAAGAGTTCCGTATAAGCTCAAAAGCTTGTCTCTCTCCAATGGAAGTTGGTCCAGTAAAATATATAACCTGACACACATTGAGAGTTGGTAGGAAAACTTTGTACTAAAGCAAATTAATTTAAGCTAAATCACTGAATAACATTCCTGTCTATGCTGCTTATAGTAAAAGGATTTTTTACTTTTATCTTAGGAGAGTAGTTGGAATAAGGTTTTTGATATATTGAAGTATCTCTGTAGCAAAGGGTGCATAAAGTATTCTTTATAAGCTCTATTTCATCCTTTTTTAAAAAAATCCATTAGAGGAAATGTTTCATGTTTCGCCTGAAGGTAAGCCTTTGGAATGTCAGCCAAACAACTTGTGTTGTGGAGCTCTGAAGTAAAATACATATTGCTCAATTCAAACTGTTTTTTAAATTTGAACACTTGTTATGGATTTAGCATTCCATGAAAACTAGTATATCATATATATTTTTAAAATAGTGCCCACAGGTGTGCTAGGTACTTGAGACATATGGTGCATGTCCTTAAAAGTTAACATTCAGACATGACATAAGATGTTAAATAACTTTATTTAAGGGGGGGACAGGCTGAAGAAGGATGAATTGCAGCCCTACAACTAGATGGTGATATAGTATAAGTATGTGTACATCTTGAAGGTTCAATTATTTAAATTTAAAAAATGGTAAATAGGATTGACACTATATCTGAGTGTTATGGAAGAAGCAAGTCTTTTTGGTGTGATATCAGTGGGAAGAGGGTACGAGTGGTCTGATATATTTGATGGGACTTGGTTTAGAAGTCCGTTAACATGAAGATTCGGTAACCTCTAATTGTGGTGGGGCATATTAGCATGTACATTCACCAGATACTGAATGTCATACCAGGCACCTGATCTAAATTCATCATACCTGCTGTAGGCCTCACTTCAGAAAAGAGAGAAGGATTCTACTTGTCAGTCACTAACCTAAGTAGGTATATGGCACATGCAATGCCTTTTATATTATGATGGCGTTAAATATCTTGGCTAATAACTTTAAAATTCAGCAACTGGATGCTTCAAGCAAGTAGAATAGGCTTGGTTTTGCCAGTTTTTTTTAAAGCTTTGTAAGGAGTCTCTTATTTAAGTTGGAATAAAGTAACCTGAAATACCTGCTATTACAGATTTTCTGCTTCTGGTGATAATAGATAGTGAAGCAACTATGTTTATAACTAAAGGAAGATTTTTGTATTTGTTATGCTGAGGCATTTGCCATGGTCCAATGGATAGGCATTGGTTTGAATCGGGCCCGCTGTTGCGACACTAATAGCGTATCAGTCACTTTCTACAAACACTTAAAATAAAGTATCAGGGGGTAGCCGTGTTAGTCTGTATCTACAAAAACAACAAGGAGTCTGGTGGCACCTTAAAGACTATCTGTTAGTCTTTAAGGTGCCACCAGACTTAAAATAAATAACTTCATTAGAATAAACAGTATCCTTCTGAAAGCTATTTCTCTCACCTTCTTTCACAATAGAGATATTGCCAGGACATACTCCAGCTCATTCTGCCTGTCTTTCTAGAGATGTAAAGGAAATCTAAACAGGCCTGTGAGTATTTATCATTCTGAGCCTCTGGAGAATCTGGGTGATCAAAAGGGTTCCTTGATAAGGTATCAACTACCACTGCAGACTTTCTTGGTGTGTATATTATGTCAAGTTCAAATCTCAAATGCATGAGCAATCTCTGGCATCTAAGGCAGGACCTTATTTTGGTCTCCAATGTTTATTATGAATTTGGTGGTGGTCTGTCACAAGCTTGAAAATAATCTAAGACCCTCAAAATATCTTGTGAACCTCTCTCATGCTCTCATAGTATTCGCTTTATTTGGGGGTACCTGGTCTCAGTGCCTGAAAACTAGGACAATGCTATGGGCTTCCATTCATCTCTATGGAAATAGAGACCCTCCCACAGAGACCTAGCTAAGGATGGGATGGTCAAGTGCTGTAGAATTGGGAACAGCAAAAAAAGACCATACTAGGGATGTAGACAACAAATTCTGTTAGCCAATGCTTCTGTGTTTTAATCTCCAATACGCAGAATCTGTCTTGGTCTTCTGAGGACAGGCTAAGTCTGAATTTGTTCCAAAATTATATTATACTGAGGAGTTGCATCTTATAAGACACATTTTTTAGGGGTGGCATCTCAATTAAAGCTTTGACATTTTCTGGATCTGCCACCAACCCCCCCTCTGTTTGAATGCTTTAAGAACTGTAATAGGGTTTGTCATAGCACTTTTCTCTAATTTTAGTCCAACAGCCTCACTTGCCTTCAGAATTTGATTTACTCTTCTGTGCCTATAGAAGACATGGCCCAAGGGTACACGCTTGCCCTCTGTGCCTTAGTTTCCCCAACTGTAAAATGGAAATGATAACTAACTTAAAGGGTTTTGAAATCCTCTGATAAAAATAGCTATAAAAGTGTTTTGTGGTATTTGTCATGGGGGAGCAGAACACAAACTTACTTGCCCAAGTAGGGAAGTCTACTTGGGTCATTTTTTCTCTTTCAGGAAAAATCTTACCTTAGTACAAAGGTATAGTTGTTAGTTCAATCGAAGGAATTTTCATTGATTCCGTTTTCAACCTTGACTCAGCCTTGCAAAATAGGTTATAGAAAGGTCTTATTTACAAAAGTGTGGGTGCTGCAAAATAATTTCCTTTCTGTTGTGTTTCCAAAATAGTATGTAATATTGTCTAGCAAATGTTAGTGTAAAAAAAAAAAGTATAATCAAATAATATATATTAGGAAATTGACTTCTTTTGTGTGAAGGGGTTACCTTTCCCCACAATGGACATGCCTTCACCTTTGTCATATGAATCTCAAATGGGGAAGGGCTCTACTCCATTTTCATCATGGAAAGTTTGAGTTCTTGGTTATTCTCCCTACTCCCTACAGAAGTAGATCCAGCACCACTACCTACTGGATTGAAAACCCCAGGAGGTCTGATGACTTCC